TGAAAGCTGCTTTTGTGATAAAGTACTCTCTATGAAAAGAAAGAGTAAGTAGCCTCTAACCCAGAATAGTAGTATCTAAAAGACAAAGTTTAAAACCTTTGTACAAGCTTCTGACTATGTAAAGATTTGGATGCAACACAGCCTGGAAAACGAGATTTGGTCTTGAGTCAAATGCAAGAAAGAGATCGAAGCGTACTTGTTTGAAGGAAGCATTTGCCTCAGTCGAAGCTTGTGGTCGAAACAAGCTAACTCGAAGGAAGCTATTTCCCAATTGAAAGCTCATGCTCGAAGGAAACATATTGCCATATCGAAAGCTCATGCTCGAAGGAAGCATATTGCCCAATCGAAGCCTGGGTCGAAGCAAACATATTTCCCAATCGAAAGTCCGTGTTCGAAGGAAGTAATGTTGCCCAATCGAAGCATGTGGATCGAAACAAACATAAAGGGAGTCATTGCCTTTTAGCGTGAGGGAGGTTTCTGGCTTCTGAGTCGAAGGGTATTCCCAAGTTGCATTCGAAGGAGGCTTTTGCTAAAAACCAAGGATGTAATCCAAGTTGCATTCGAAGGAGGCTCTTGCTCAACTGAATTTTTCATCCAGGCACACAGAAGGTGAGTGCCCAAACGAAGACTTGCCTTGCAGGGGGTACATGTGACCAGTAGGTCATGGCCTTCGATTGCAAGCATGCAGGCAGCAAAAGACACAAACGAAACCTGCAACAAGAAGTCACATGCCCGGGCGAAAGAGGCACACTAGCATCCATTTTGAGCAATCGAAGGAGGCCAAGAGTCAATCGAAGGATGCTGATCGAAAGATGCCTAAAGGCCAATCGAAAGAGCTGAAACGAAGAACACTTGTATTTCTCCAATTTTTGTCAAAATAATATTTTTATCTGTTTTCTCCCTTTTTGACAATCTCCTTTTAATTTTGGTATTGGAATATTCCAAAGTACTTGTGCAAGCTTGAACCTTGAGAATCCTTGTGAGAAAGGCCTTGATAATTGAGAGGGCAAATTTTGGGGTACAACAAGTTGACTATAATTTTCCAGAAGTTCTGATAAACTTTCAGCAAGTTCAACTCTAGTAAATTCAGAGAATACCTCTTTTGGTTCTGACTCACAGTCTGAGTCATCTGCTGTGGTAGCCATCAGAGCTAGGTTAGCGTTCTAATATTCAGAATCATATTCATCTTCAGAGGATTCTGAATCATCCCAGGTTGCCATCATACCTTTCTTTCTACCAAACTTTTTCTTTGGTTTTTCTCTTTGAAGTTTTGGAAAATCACTCTTGTAGTGCCCAAGTTCTTTACATTCATAACAAATTATCTCTCTTCTGTTTGACTTTTTGTGTCCAGAAGATTCTGGTTTATCTTCTGACTTCTTGAAGTTCCTGAACTTCTTCTGTCTGTGCTTCCACATCTGATTAATCCTTCTGGAGAGCAAGGATAGTTCATCTTCTTCTGACGCAGATTCTTCAGAGTTTCCTTCTTCAACCTGAAAAGCGTTAGTTTCATATTTTTTAATTGATTTAAAGGCAACAAACTTACCTTTCTTCTGAGGCTCGTGCTCATCAAGTTCTATCTCATGACTTCTTAAAGCGCTGATGAGTTCTTCAAGAGACATGTTGTTCAGATCTTTTGATACTTTGAAAGTAGTGACTATAGGTGCCCATGTTTTGGGTAAACTTCTGATGATCTTCTTAATATGGTCTGCCTTTATGTATCCCTTGTTTAGAACTCTCAGGCCAACGATCAGAGTTTGGAACCTTGAGAACATAGCTTCTATAGATTCACTTTCTTCTACTTTGAAGGCTTCATACTTCTGGATGAGAGCCAGAGTTTTAGACTCCTTCACTTAAGCGTTTCCTTCATGAGTCATTTTGAGAGACTCAAACATATTATGTGTTGTATCTCTATTTGTGATCTTCTCATATTCCATTTTAGAGATGGCATTTATAAAAATATTTCTAGCTCTGTGGTGATTTTTGAAATCAGCTTTTTGTTGTCTATCCATATTTTTTCTATCAATCTTGTTTCCTTCTGAGTCTATAGGATATGTGTAACCATCTAAGACTATATCCCATAAATCACTATCATGGCCTATAAAGAAACTTTCTAGTCTATCTTTCCAATAATCAAAATCTTCTCCATCAAACACTGGAGGTTTGGTGTAGTTATTATTGTTTTGTTCAGTTGCCATTGTGTTTTCTTTCTGGATCTTTTCCTGACACGGTTAAGTGTTTGCGCTAAGAGTCAAGCTCTGATACCAATTGAAGGGTGAGAAAACACTTAGAAGGGGGGGGGGGGGTTGAATAAGTTTCTCCTTTTCTTTTTCTTAAAGGCTCAACAATAATGGAAAGACACAGTTATTTTTATCCTGGTTCGTTTGAACTCAAACTACTCCAGTCCACCCGCCAAGGTGATTTCACTTTTCTCAACAAGGACTTAATTCACTATAATCAAATAGATTACAATCACACAACCAAATCGTTGTGACTAACAATTCAAAGCACAAGTAAACTTACAAGTGACTAACACCACTAAGGCTCAAACTAGTCCTAGCCTTCTTGAGAAATCTGACCAAGCTTAGTCTCTCAAGGAACAATTACAAGAATTAAATCTTTACAGATAGTGAAACAAATTGCTTCTTAAAAAGCTATATCACAAACGTGATTTTTCACTAAGATTAGTTTTAGACAAAGTGTTTGTAAAATGATTTGTGAGCAGCAAAATATTTTCACATAGTTGGGTCGTTGGCTTGCAATAAATGATCTTCTATTTATAGCATGAATAAAACGACTGTTGCTGCCTTCAAAAGTGGAGAGCAATTAATGTTTGCGTGTTTGCTTGTAGTATTGCATTTTCCAATGAACTAGCGTAGACACTTGAGTGCATGTAGCCGTCTTTGCATTAAATGAGCAAACGACACTTGTCAGAGCATGTTTCTTGAAACTTGACAAGACTTGTTAGCTTCTTTATTCTTTCAGAACTAGCTTCACGTCTTGCTTCAGAATATGCTTGCAAATCTTCTTATCAGCGCTTGCTTGGAGAATTCTTCTGAACATGGTTTACATGGAAACTTTCTAAGCTTTAGAAGATGCATAAAATATTTTCTTATCAGAGTCAGCATCAGAACTTGCGCTAAAACAAATAGTTCTTTCATCAAAGAACTTCTTCATTTATTTTCAGCTCAGCACGTCAAAATGATTTTCATCTAAGAAAATACTTCAGTCAGAACATTATCTGAAACAAATAAATATGCTCATCAGAGTATCAATTATATAAAATATATTTTATTGTTATCATCAAAACTCTGAGATATGATCAGAACCAATCTTGTTCTAACAATACCAATGACACTTGTATGTGATAATCAAGCTGCATTGCACATTGCTTTAAATCTAGTCTTCCATGAGAGAACCAAACATATTGAGATAGATTGTCACTTTGTCAGAGAGAAGATTGAATCTGGCGACATCGTCACAAGCTTTGTCAACTCTAATGATCAATTGGAAGATGTTTTTACAAAATCTATGTGAAGCCCCATAACTAATTATATATGTGGCAAGCTTGGTGCATTTGACTTATATGCTCCAGCTTGAGCGGGAGTGTTGATATTTGTAAATATATAATGTTAAGAATATTTCTATGTAGAATAGTCCCACATCGATTATATAGTGTAATTAGTTGTAATCTCTCTATATATAATAAAGTCTTCATAGTGTCTCTTAGTCTCTCCTAATTCAATACATATTAATTTTTTAAACTACCATGTTACATGAAAGGAGTGAAATTTTTTTGTTAAAAGTTCACCTACAACCACTTTTAAAAGGGATAACTATCTGTTTAAACTTAGAGCAAAGTCATGGAAGGGTGGAGTTGGATGTTTGGTTAAGGTAGTACTTGGACTTCACAATCATGATATATCTCATACTCATTTTGGAGTCATTTAAATAAAGAAGAGAAGACAAAAATAAGGACTACAAATGATTAGATTTATAGGATTTAAAATCAAATTATCAGAGTGGAATTTGAACCTACGCCCTTTTAGACCAGAACCTTAATCTGGCGCCTTAGACCAACTCGGCCATCTCAATTTGTTGTCCAAATTCTAATTTGATTTAATAAATTATATAAACCTATTTGGTTAAAAATAATAGTGATAAGAAGAATTCAAATACCCCAATAATTTAATTTTTACTGTTTTAGAATAATATTTTGTTTGATTTTGTAGTGATATATTTGTAAAGACTTATTAGGGGAATTACAACCACCAATAAGGGGCGACACCCATGTACCACTCGTAATTGGGGGCAACCTCTCCTTAAACGCTACTTATTCGCCTAGTCACAAGAAACATGAGAAAAGAAGTGTCTCAGTAAGTGAGAAATCAGGGTAACCATGCTAATCAGTGTCTCCCTTAAGAAGTAAGAATTCAACGTTCCAACATTATAACTAAGTGGATGGTTATGACTCCCAAGAAAATCCTAACTCCAGACCCAAGAGCCTTTATAAATATTGTATCCCTAGCATGAGAAGATACAAGCTATCGAGATTTTCACCCTATGTGAGCTTTCTTTCTCATCACCATAAACAACATCCCGCTGGGTATCTCACCATCGTGAGCAATTCCTAACCACCGAAAAAATCTAAAGCTTCTAGCCACCACTACCCGTATAGGGGTGCCATACATCCTGTACTTTTTGACAAGTATAGTGGTTCATTAGTATGTTTGTCATGTGAATATGTGCAAGTAAGGGGTCATGTAATCCTAGAGGCAACCTACAACATGGGTTCAAACTCCAAAGCGATTGAGGTCAACTACCTCATAGTGGACGCTTTATTTCCATATAACATCATCTTTGGAAGACCAGCCATCAATGTGTTAAGGACGATTATATCCACCCAATACCTGGTCCTGAAATACCTGTTACCTAGTGGGTGATTTGGGACAGTTCAAGGAGACTAACAAAATGCCCAAAAATGTTACGAGAACAGTCTATCGATGGGAAGGGAAGAGATCTCCCTTGGGGTTATCTCACTCCATGAAGCTCTAGATGCAGACACCTATAGTTGGGATCCCAGACTAGGCATCAATAACGAGAGGCTCACGCCCACAGAAGACCCGAATGATGTTTGAATAGGTCCTTTGGCTCACTAAGCGACAAATATAAGCACCCCTTTTTTCGAAGAAGAATAGTGAGAGCATGTTGACCAACTCATTAGAAACATTGAATTGTTTGCTTGGGATCCATATGACATGACAAGGCTAGATACCAGTGTGGTGTGCCATCGCCTCACCTTCAACCCCTCTGCAAGGCATGTGGTACAAAGAAAGTAGAAAGTTAGGGAGAAGAAGAGAGTCGACATCGAATAAGAGGTAAACAAGTTAACAAGTGTCATCTTCATAATATATACAAAATATCTAACCTGGTTAGCCAATTTAGTGTTGGTGAGAAAACCAACAAACTAGTGGTGTATGTGCGTTGATTTCACCGACCTCAATAAGGTCGTCTCAAAGTTTCTATATCCCTTGTCGGATATTGATTGTCTGATTGATGGGTCCTCGGGCGACCATACATTGAGCTTTATGGATGCCTATTCGGGGTACAACTAGATTAAAATGGACCCCTTTAGCGCGTCCAAGACGACGTTTATATCAAATCATGACAACTGCTATTATAATATCATGCTCTTCAGCCTCAAGAATATTGGACAATCAATTCATGCAGATGTATCTGACCAACCACAAAAGCACTGAAGCCTCAATTAAAAACCTTGAAATACAGGTGGCCAATTATCCAAATAGTTCTTAGATCTTCCGAGTCAATATTATCCCACTTTCAGTAGTAAATATAATTGAGTATATTCCAATATAGCCACCTACATCAACACTGCAGATGACAGGAAACACATGTAGGACACAAGTGGGTAAAGTTAACAATGTGCTGATACATGTTAGAAACCACTCATTTAATGTAGACTGTGTAATGTTGGATATAGATATGAAGGCAGACCTAGAAATATCTTTCATCTTAGGAAGACATTTTATGAAAATGGTGAGGATGCTCATAAACATAGACAAAGGAGAATTCAAGGCCAAAATCAAAGATCATGATATAAGTTACAAGGTAATTGGTATCACATGACACTAATCAATGTCAAGCTACTGACGTTAAATAAATGATTGTTGGGAGGCAACCCAACCATATTTTACCGTTTTCTTTAGTATTAGGATTTAATTTGGTAATTTCAATACAATCACTTTGATAAAAAGTAAGATGCAAAGCCACAAAAATGTGAGCTAGCTAAGCGCATAATAGAGAGGCCATTTCTCGCCCAGCGTGCCTAGGGGAAAACCCAAAAGTAAAGAATAAGATCTCTCGACTAGCACGACCTAGCTCGTCTAACGCGAGTCTGTTTCAAAACATTGGGAAACACGAGCATACTTAAATTTAATTCTTCCCAACCAATTTTTCTCACTCATTTCACTTCTCCCACTTGTAAAAAACCCTATCACACACTAGAGAACATCATTCAAGAATAAAATCTTCACCAACTCAAACTTTAATCGAGTACAAAGATTGCTCGGGTATGTCATTCTACTAAATTTTTCTTATATTTTAATTTATTATGGATGTGAATTTTCTAATTTAGGTTAAATTTAGATAAACTTTATTGCTCCATAGTGATAACTTAGGATAGGGTAGAATTAATTTACTTGAAAGTTTGAATTGGATGCTTCAAAAAACATAGAGGGGAATTTTTGCATGTTAGAGTCACATAGGTACAAAATGAATTTAGATGAATTTTAAATTCTCCATTACATATGTAATGTGTCTGTGTATCTAAAATATGTCTCTGCTACAACATATTCATCGAACTTCTACAATATCATGTTTTTTTCGGCAAATATGAAAATTTTGTCATATTATGCTAACATGTCCAAATTCTATATATATTGACTCTTTATTATTTCAGATGGCTTATGGAAGATCAAAAACTTTAAGGAAAAGACAAAGCACTAACATTGATTCGTATGTTGTACAATATGATGAACATAGGTTCAAAAGCGTCATGTACGAGCAGTTTTACACCGAGCTTGAAGGTAGAAATACCATTCAAGAAAAGACCGTTGAGTAGCAAAATCATGGAGAATATTCATATGTGATGCAAGAAAAAATTCACGAGATTGGGGTATTCTGGCTACTCTATATAGTGTGTGAATATTGAAATAATAAAGAGTTCTACGCCAACGCCAAACCTATTGATGAAGCACAATTAGAAAAATTTTCTTGGATATTGGGGCAAATAATTTCCATATGAAAGGAACACCATCCTTGCATACATCAAAGACAATTATGTGGCACACCTTAGGAAATTCAATCCCTTTTCAATACATATGGTAAAAGGAAATTAGATTTATGATGAAATAGTTGCTGATATATGTGAAATAGGGAGAACCTACCAGTTGAAAAAAAACAAACTTCTTGTTCGTTTTAAAAGATCTGACCTGACTATCCAAGCACAAATTTAAATGACCTTTCTAGTCAACAATGTTATACTGGCAAATCATACTTCTTCTACCAACTTAAAGACTACAAAAATCATCTGATACATATTAGAAAAATAAGTGGACATTGCTCGAGTAATCTCCAACAAAATTTGGGAGATTGTGGATTATACTAAGAAACATGCCCTTGGATTACTGGCATTATAGAAGTTCAGAATTTCTGAAGCTGTTCAATATACATGTGATTAACGAAAACAGAAAAGTTAAGATGGTTCGTTTGAGAAAATATGCGAATTAGTATTAATGTTATATTTGTTTGGTCTTTTAGAGATGTGCAGGAAATCAGTTGGAAGGATTTTCGCAGACACAGATTAGCACCATGGCATCCTAACGGCCACGCGTTCGCAACCGAGAACCAAGACAAGACATGCACACTATGGGACGCCAGAAATGTACCTGTTGAAACCATATTATCTTTGAGGTTGTACTGAAATGCGAACCTTAATCTGGCGTCTTAGACCAACTCGGCCATCTCAACTTGTTGTAAAAGTTCAAATTTGATTTAATAAATTATATAAACCTATTTGGTTAAAAAACAATAGGATAGAAAGAGTCCAAATACCTCAATCATTTAATTTTTACTACTTTAGAATAATATTTTGTTTGATTTTGTAGTGATATTTTTGTAAAGACTTATTGGGGGGATTACAATTGCCAGTAAAGGGTGAAACCGATCTACTGCTCGTACTTGAGAGCAACTTCGCCTTAAGCGCTCCATATTTGCCTAGTCACGGGAAATGTGAGAAAAGATGTGTCCCGGTAAGTGAGAAATCAGAGTAAACAGACTAATTTGTGTCTTTTTAAGAAGTAGGGATTCAACATTTCAACACTGTAACTAAGTGGACGATTATCACTCTCAAGAAAATCCTAACTCCAAGTACAAGAGCCTCTAATTTGTGGTCTTTGAAAAGGTTACGTCACTTATCTCCTAAACCCTAACCTTTTCCCTCTATTCATAACTTTCTATTACAAACGCTTTTGAAACAAAATTTATGCTTCCCCCAAATACAAAGTCACGTTCTCTATCTTCCTCTTCTTCTCTCTTCATCTACCTCTCTCTTCCTATTCTCTTTTGCTCTCTTCCACTTCCTCTCTCTTTTTCTTCTTCTTTCTCTCTTCCTTTTCTTCAAACAAAAGTGTTACTTTTATCGTTTTCTGCTTAGATCTACGAAACTCCGACAATTATGTTGTTGTTGATATTTTTATTGTTGCAGATTTCAGAAATCAAATCTTTCCGGTTGTTGAAAGAGAGAAATTGATTGAAGCTTTTGAGAACATTTATAGGTCTCTGTGTTTCTTCTATTGCCTATAGGTATGTAATTTTATCCGTGGTTTAGTTTGAGAGAAGGAAACTATGCTCTTCTGATTTTATACATGGATCTGAATGTTTGATAGTTGATGTTATAAGTGGTTTTGATTATGTGGATGTCGGAATATCTATTGTTTGTGATATGTGGATACGGTTCTGCACATGGACGGTGTTTTGAATACTTAATGGTATTTATGATTGCAGGCTGATGCATATGGACATAATCTATTATCTGTATGAGTTATTTTGTGTTTGGAAGCATTCAAACATATGTTTCTTTGTGTTTGAAGTCTTGCCACATTTGATTATGTTTAACTTATTTACATGCTAAGTGTGTACACGGTATGCATTAATTTGATTCGAACAATGCCTTAATGACAAATACTTTTTGTGTATGCGGGTATATAATTTGTTAATAACAGATACTTTTGTGTATGCAGGCCGGGTATATAGTTTTTGCGCTTGAGAAACTATGTTCAAGGTAGTGGTCATTGATGTCTGGCCTACATTTTAAACATTGAATCAAATATGATGAATGTTTGTAACACGGTGAATAATGTATTCGACAGAACGCCACCAAGGGAAGAAAAGTTACTTGCTATTGCAGTTTCAGATGTTAACAATTATTAGTATTCACTGTACATGTTTAACTTTTGGACAGTCTCCTGCATAAAACATGTTTAATTTGAGGACTAGAGTAATTTAGTATTCATTGTACATGTTTAAATTTTGGACTGTGCAAGTCATGTTTCAATTGTATACGATAACACTCATGTGTCATTCAATTTAACTTGCAACTGATTTATATAAGTTGTTCATAACAGGAAAACTTTGAGTGGTTCATCTGCTAGGCTTGGAAAAGAAAAAAAAGCAAAGTACATAAGTGATAATTGGTTGGTCAACCTTCTTCCAATTCTATTTGTATCAATTTTCTATTTTTTAAATTCTCTTTCAAGGTTAACTTCATTAACTACAAATGTAATAAAGCATGTGTATTATACTCTGATATGTCATCATATGCTACTGCAGATTGCATGACATTGAAATTGTGTACGACATGGCTCACTTGGACATGGAGCTTGCAGGTTACTGTGTAATTATGTTCCATAATTTTGTAAGCAGATGTTAAATAAATACGAGCTATTAGGAAAAATTGATCGTCTCGCCAAACTTTATGATAAAATGATTTTTCTTCTTCATTCAGGTTTGCGATATATCTTCTATTAAGACAAGAACACAATTCAAAGGGCATTTCTTGCGATATATTTGTGCTGACAAAGTGGCTTCAGTCTTATTTTGTCCTTTTGATTGATGTATGCTTTTTGATATCATGGATTTAATTTTAACCATATTGACTTTGACCTTGCTTGGCTTGCAGGGTTTACTTTGTTTTCCTCTCGTGGATGACGACTTATTTCAAAAGCGTAACTACATGACACTCTTAATCAATGCAGAACACTGTTTCTCCGCAAAACAATCACTAGTCTCTTATTAAAGGTTACTTGCAGGATCGATTACAATAATTTTAAACTTAGTGTTTTGAGTGTTTTTGGGTTGAAACTGGTTTATAAAAGATAAAAGGGCAAAAGATAAAGACAATTGCAACGCAGATAAATTAAAGACAAGGCTTGTAATTTAAAGTAAAAATTGGAAATTTCTATGAATTTAGATGTGGAAGCATTCATACATTGTTAAGCTTGAACTCGTTTCTCTCTTAGATGTAGGTACTTTGAGTGTATTACTATTAGATATGAAGAAATGCGACCTTGACACAAATACAAAAGTTTGCTTAAATACATACCCTAGATACGTAACCGTCAACGGTTACCAACCCACGTTGAGCTTCGTGGACAACTGTTTTGAATATTCTCACGTCTTCATTGGCTTTGCACGTTGATAACCGTTCCCACCAATATGAATCCCTGTTTGTCGACACCTGCTCCTGTCGATGACCGCATATGCATCCTAAGCCCTTCGTCGACTTGCTCCTTTTGATCGATGTCTCTTGACTTGATCAACGCGTCTTGTTGTTTTCTACGAAAATTTTATGCCTATTCAGCCAAATGAACCCCAAAACTTAAGGCTTATAACCCCAGTCAAAAATTGCTTGTGAACAAATTGTCCTCCAAAACGCCATGTTCGACGAAGCCTTGTCGATGGGAGAACTCTGGCGTTTTCTCTTCTTCGTTTTCGACTGTACACCTCATTGAGATGACGTCATGCGTTATCATGACTACTTTATGTGCAAAAGTTTCCCATCTCACTTCAATCACTTCACATGATTACTCCTCTTTAGATATACTTTCAAGAACCCTTAGTCTCTTTCTTCCACTTCAGTCTCCCACTTTCAGTTCCTGCAAATCCTAAGGAAACCTCTTTAGTTTTCGCAATGGCCACTCCAGCTGATATTCCTTTCACAGGTAATAACCCCATAACTTTCGCTATTTCTGTGAAACAAAGCTTGAACTACATCCCATATCCTTTGTTTCATCCAGCATCATATTCCAATACTGTTTTGATGAAAGTTCGTGTTGGTGATGTACTCGTACTGATTGTAAGTGTATCTCGACTAGGAAAACTATGTTGTGTCCAAATGTCAGTCGAAAGGGTGTCGACCCGGTCGCTTCCTTGGAGGGTGTTCGACAAGCCCATAAAACTTGATCTAACGTCCTGTGCCAATTCTTGAGTTTCTTAGAGATGTGTTTCTTAATTAACCCAATTATTACTTTGTTGGCAGCTTCGACCTGACCATTGGCTTAAGCGTAATAAGGCATGAATGTTACCAATTTGAAGCTTGTTTTAGACGCAAACTATTGCATCTTGCGCCCAATAAAAACTGATCCTTGGTCTGTAGTGATTGTCTCAGGAATCCCAAATCTATAAATGATATGCTTTTGAATAAAGTCAACCACTACTTCTTGGTCGACATTAATCAATGGTACTGCTTCTATCCATTTAGTGAAGTAATCTATTCCCACTAGAATGAACTTTTGTTGTTTCGACGAGGCCGGTCGAATTTCTCCTATGACGTCCAACGCCCATCCTCAAAATGGACATCGCTTAATGAATGTGTGCAATTCGCTTGCAGGTACATGTTGAATACCTGCATGCTTTTGGCATTCTTGACAGCCCTTAGCAAATTCAATACAGTCCCTCAACATGCTTGGCCAATAAACACCATGTCAAAATAGCAGCCATTTCATTTTATGGCCGACTTGGTGGGCCCCATAAGCTCTACTATGAACCTCTACTATTGCTAAATATGCTTAAGTATCTCCTAAGCACTTGAGCAATACCCTTTTAAGAGTCTTTTTTGAATAATTCATTTCCCATATTTCCAATTGGAGTTTCCAAATAATTCACAATTGTCTTTCGCCAATCTGTGTCTGACAAATTGTCAATATCAAAATTTCAAAATCTTTGAGGATATGGAATAGGCGGTTTATAGGGTGGCGGAGGCACATAAGATTCTTCTTTTTCCACGGCCTCTTCATCACCTTCTTTTTCTACTTCCTTCGGTTCAGCTTCCTTCTCAGTTCCTTTTCCATGTTTATGGTACATGGTTGGGTTCTCGACTCTAGGTTCAGTTGGTCCGCCTAGTTCTGTCCCACTCCGAAGTGTTATGGAATTAGCATGTCCCTTTGGATTTGGTTGGGGTTGTCTAGGAAAAGTTCCAGCTGGAGCAGCTGTAGCTGTTTGCTGTTGAGCCACTTGGGATATTTGTGTTTCTAACATTTTGTTGTGTGTGGTGAGAGCATCAATTTTATTCGTCAGTTGCTTAATTTGCTCTCTGGTGTGAACATTTTGATTCATGAAATCTTTGTTAGTTTGAGCTTGGGTGGCTACAAAGTTTTCTATCATTATTTTAATGTCGGACTTCCTAGGGATATTCGGAATAGTTGATACATTTTGGGTGGTTTTCTGAAATCATGGAGGTGTAGTAGGAGCTTGCCCTGGTGCGTACAAAGCATTGTTGCTTTTGTATGAGAAGTTTGGAAGGTTCTTCCAAGCAGGGTTATAGTTATTGCCATATGGGCTTCCTTGAGCATAATTCACTTGATCAACTGGTACTCCTATTAAGAGTGGACATTCGGGTGCAGCATGCGTGTGAAGTCTGCATAAATCACAGGTTGGAGCTACTGTAGCCACGGTGGCTGCGGGAGTTATGGTCAAGCTTTCTATCTTTTGGGTAAGGGCTTCTACCTTGGCATTAACTTGGTCTAAGCTACTAAATTCGTGCATACCGTCTTTTTTTTAGGTTTATCCATCATGGTTCTATCGTTTCCCCACTAATAGTGATTTTGAGCCATACTTTCGATAAGTTGATAGGCATCGTGGTACGATTTATCCATCAATGCACCGTCAGCAACTGCGTCAATCGTTAATCTTGTGTTGTACAAGAGACCATTGTAAAAGGTGTGGATGATCATCCATTCTTCTAGACCGTGAAGTGGACAGAGTCGCAACATGTCTTTGTATCTTTCTCATGCTTCGAAAAGAGATTCGCTTTCCTTTTGTTTAAAACCATTGATATTGGCTCTTAGCATAGCCATCTTACTCGGTGGAAAATATCGCGCTAGGAAAACTTTCTTCATTTCGTTCTATGTGGTAACAGAGTTGGACGGTAGAGACTGGAGTCATGCTCTAGCTCTATCTCGTAACAAGAAAGGAAAAGATGAAGTCTTATCGCTTCAGGGCTGACACCATTCGCTTTCACTGTGTCTGCGTACTGCACAAACACGGATAGATGAAGATTTAGATCTTCCGTAGGACATCCTGAAAATTGGTTTTGTTGGACAACTTGCAATGACGAAAGTTTTAACTCGAAATAGTTCCATGCGATAGCGGGAGCAGCAACAGTGTTGTGGGGTTCCTCTTGTGATGGGGCAACATAATCCTTCAGAGGACGATTTTGGGGTCCTTCAGCCATTCTTGGGTCAGGAAGAGAATAGTTAGGAAGATTGAATTCGGGAAGATTGTACTTGGTTTGATACTCTCTAATTCAGTGTCTTATATTAAAAAAATGCTCGACCTCGTCGATTGGTTGCTCTAATTCCCCTCCTTGAGAGCGAGTGCTTGGCATACAATCAACGGATAAAATAAAATAAAACTGGTCGCATTAGTCTATATTGCGTAACAAGGGATTTACAATATTTGACTAAATCAGTCCCCGACAATGGTGCCAAAAACTTGATCGCGACTTTATGAGTCTATCAGGTGTAGTGACTGCAAGTGCACAGTCTATCGCATAGTTTTAAAAGATATCGAACCCACAAGGACTGATGGTCGAACTACTGTTATCTTAAGATTACTGTGTAAAGCTGAGGATAATTATAAAATTTGGGTGTTTGGGTTTAATCGGGAGTTAACTAAAATTTAATCATTAATAACAGGACACCGGTATTAACTCTGTCAACTTCAGGGATTCAATAAGTCATTGGCATTTGTTTTCAGTATTAAACACTGTTTTAGTGGAAACTATTTATTTAAAAACCCTCGTCTCACACTTCCTTTCTATCGATTCAGGTCATATTATTAAACTCAAATGAGCGCTCTTGCTGTTTCATTCAAAATTCAAAAGTATTTTTTGAAAACAAATAGAGTCCAATTAATTTTAAAGCTCTCTTGTTGTTTTTAAAAATTAATGTTTAATAACCACTATCTGGTTAAAACCTCAAACTCTCGCTCTGTTGATTTTAACCTTAGATTGTCTTTTACTCTCGTGCAAAAACAATTAAATATTCAAATTGGAAATTAAAACCAAAAAAGTGCTTTTGTAAAAATACTAATGCCAATTAGTCACCTAATCCCTTTGGTTTAAGATTTACATACTGGTATCGGGGAATTTAGCCAGACATAATGTTATTGCAGGGCGACATAAAATCAAAACATAAATTTAACAACACATGCATGGTAAGAACAAATAAATTATACTTTAAAATAGGAACCTGAGATTAAATACTGAAGCAAATAATCTGAGTAGTGCGTATCCTCCACAAGCTGGCAGGATTAACTTGTAATGAATTATCTTGAATTAAATAAAATGGGCCTAAACAAATTATGGAAGCTATGAAGAAAACTAAGGTTGCAGTATCCCTCCAATGTGAAGAAATACTGCTTTAATGGTGCAGGTTTTCTATGCTTACGGGAATTCTACGAAACTGGAAAAACAAAATAAAAAAAACTACGAAACTGAAATAATTGTAATATTGCAAAACTGGAAAATAATGGTAAGTTACAGTACATAGAAGAAACAATGGAAACTGGTGCAAAATCTCTGACCCTCGCAATGTTGGTAACTGCTTAAATTTATAGATTCCAAAAGTGGGCAAAAATAGGAGGAATCCCCTTGATCCTCGTTCTTCCATCATGGAGAAATATCCGGCAAAACCGTCTGTTTCGTCCGCTTCGTGGAGACATTTCTGTAGCAGTTATATGGATCATGGCGAGCGTTATGCGTGCTGTGACGTGGGGCATACATCTTCAAACTGTGTC